CGTCTGCAAAAGCATTTTTTATAACTTGGTTCTCTTGAATGACGGAGAAAAAGGCGGAATCTGGTCGCAAGTGCCCATGAGCACTATTACCTGGTTATCGCATGGAACCGACAGATATATAGTAACATATGTAACACAGCGACTGGATAATGGGAGAGATTTTGCTCCCGTTCTATTCACGCGAGAGTTTAAAATGCTTAAGAAACATGGAAGGTTATATAAAAGAAAAAAGGTACATAGATCACAAGAAACGCTGAAAGGACTACTAAGACATCGAAAAATTGCGCTATATGGCGAAATCACAGTAAAAGGAGCCCGTCTATTTTTAACCCGAGTGTTGTGAGCAATGTGAGTCGATTTCAATTCAAAACGCCTATAGCGAAAAATTGAGCGTCATTCCATCGGCTGCCTAACACAAATAGGCTTTGTTGAGAATGTGCTGAAAGTTCTCGTAGGTTAGAATGGTCTGCGTGTTGTCTACCCTTTAATGCTTTCCGTTTAGATAATAGCACTGTGGTAGAGTCTCCCCAGATCACAGATTTAGAAGGAACCTTCTAATAAAGAGCGAGCTCACTGTGGCGGTTCTCGAATGAATACAGTCACCCTCATATTATTGGCTAACAACATAAAATGCGTGAAGTCCGAAAGCACATGTTCTGTACCTCTTGCTTCAAAAACTATAACATCTTGTCCTTATGTTAGTTATGTTTTCTTATGCGATATGATTCACTCAATTGCATTGCCCACCCACCTCCACCTCGTCCCCTTTTAACGCGTTACCTTTATACATTTCATTTTACGAGCGGATTAGTGAAAATAAGACATGGTGTGGTTTTCTTCCGATCAAATTCGGAGGTGTTTGTGAAAAAGTAGCAAAAACGTTTGGAAAAGTTGGTTTATCTATTCAATACGCATAGGTTCTTGATAATAATGTTAACAAGTGACAACTGCCTGTGGTGAAGACCCGAGAACACCCCAGCACAGATATCACAGAATTCCAGAGTGACATCGAATCCCACGGGCATTCAACGGCATTCATAAAGAAGAGCAGAAGCCCTCAAGCACTAGCCAATAGATACGCAAATCTAAAGAGGTCCTTGGGTGACGGATGCGGGGAAACGAATCAACATTAAAGAATACACTAACATTCCGCAACACATTCTAAACCCATTTAACGAGCTCAGCGCAGATCTACAGCAGTTCAATCTTTATGTTGTTGCAAGGTTTCTTCCCTTTGTGCGCGATTTCAATCAATACTTCGTTCATCCTGCTAGACATTATTGCTTATTAATAGGATTTTCTTCCTAAGTCTTTGGCAATGTCATATGCCACGTTTTGTTTTCTACATTAAGTGTGTTCTACCCGATTTCTTTTCCTTTAAATCCTCCATATCCGCCTTTGGATCCATCCTCCCTTCTCCACCTTTCCTCCTCAGACACATTGAAGCCATCAATGATTGTGACTACTGAGCTCTCAGATATTCCCACTCACAGTTCAGAGTTGATTCGAGTTGATGGAATATTTCGGACTGAGATACGCCCCAGTTCTTTGAAAAGAGTTATATGCAAGAGTAAAGCAGTTATTGAGAACTTTACAGCCTTGTAGACAGAGTTCGATCGACCGTGGACAAAATTTTTTTTTACGAAATATTCTTTCAACTCGTTAAATTTCTTTAGAAACATCAAAGATATTTTGGGAAACGCCATCATGTCTCGATGGACGAAATCCCACTTGTCCAATGTCACTCATCTTTTCAATGCGAACCTTGACACAAAGAAAATAAGCTAAATAGGTTTGAACACCTGGACTCTAAAGAATGTGAATTTCATCATGATGAAATATGAGAACTTTTGTTTTGCGGACCATCTGAATTTCAGCTTCCCAATAGTTTTTATTGCAGTTAGTAAAATTCACTATAGGCTGAGATAAGCTGGTTCGAAGCTAAGGGTGGCTACTATTTCTGCACCGCATTTGACTCCTATACAGGTCACGTCATCACGTAAGTGTTAAAAGCGTACGCCTAAGACCGAGCACTACAACTGCATTGGCGTGAATTGATATCAAGTTATAGCAAGTGTATTGAACGATTAGCCGTCAAGCAGATGAATCAATTACATGGATTTAGACTTCGAACTCCTATACAACCTACACACTATGATATATACACTATACAACCACTATGATGCTCAGATATTTGCAAACCATGGCTCCCAGGCCAGATTCGAATTCGCTGTTATGCTTTCCGGAGGCTCACTTGTTACCCACTACACCAATAAGGCCCTTACTTTATCTTTCTCTTACCCAGTTTTCTACCTAAAGGTACCATCAGCAACCATCCGTCAGCGGGAATGATCTGGTCAGCACAAATTGGTATGAAACGCAGTTAAGCTGAGTGCTATGTTAGATTCTCTAGTGGCATACATGTCGATCGATCATGATATTGGTGTCCTACTATTGTACAAGTTTCAAGATAAAAGTGGTCAGTTTTTAACTGACAAGTCATTTATAGTAGATAAGAAAAAGCTAGAATCAAATTCCTGACGCGAATCGAATTTTTGTGCCATGTCATCGGGCCAACGGTTTTTGCTCTACGTATTGAGCGCTACGGAGCATTATTTCGATCGTGAAGTTAATCCGGTAGGAAGTCCTTCAAACAACGAAAAACTGAGGAACTGTTGTGAATCTTCACAGCAAGCTATTGAATACGGTTATTCACAGTTAAGAAACAGCAGTTCTTTCAGCAACTAGAGGAATAAGTCGCAAAGAAGAGCTATATCTGTCCGTGTCTCTATATAAAGGGTCTTAAGGTTGTTTTGTTTCCATTATCGCAGAAGAAAAGTGTTAACGTTAGAGGCGATGTTATCGCGCAATATGCCTCAATGTCATATATGTATCCTTCAGAACAGTCATTCACACCGACAATCAGGTCTCGTCGTTGGCATCTAGACAGTCAGTCAATGGTCTCGTTAACCTCGAACCATCGTCCCAAGGCTCGGATCAACGTCCCAGCCTAATTGCCACGGGAATACGTTGACACACGCGTTTCGGAACGAGCGGCGCGCAGGTCGTGCCTTATCCGCAGGCGAACCTCGCACGGAAAGACCTGCCCTGGGAGCCACGGCCGTACTGAAGTGTCAACTATGGCGCGCCAACTGGAAATGGGAGGAGCCCGGATATAACTGATATGACCCCATATAAGTATGTTCCTTCATATCGCTTAATTCCTATAATCTCCTTGGTAGAAGATAAACTGTTCTTTGTGCTTGTGACTGTTTATTTCAATAGCCACCGGATAATTGCTTGTCTTGCAGATGTTTTCCGACGTGCATTTTAACCAAGATATCTACACTGAGCAGATGATGGCGAGTTGTGTTCTTCTGTTTCCTCCTTGTATATCTAGCGTTTGTATGGGTGTTCTTCACAGCGTTGGAAATCGCTTGTACTTTAGATGCAGTCAAGAAAGAGGCCTCATAATGGATCAAATACAGAGCCAGCAAAGAGACTTGATGACAGACTCAAAGAAAATTGCTCTCCTGAACTACCAATGGTTGGCTAAAGTTCTAAAACGATCTTCGTCAGATATCAATAAAACCATTTATTAGATCCAACCAATGTACCAGAGTACGCCGTTAATCCCAGGGCAACGCGAATTCTTCCACGCTAACGTTCACATTCCATCCTCTCAGACGGTATGGACTTTCCCTTTCTTTCGATGGCATATGTACTAGAATTCGCTGTACTAGGCATATTCTTAGAGGCCAGAAGCTCGGCTTCTAAGATCGCTAAGTAAGAAAGATTAGCTTGATGTGCTTGATGTTAAGTTGTAGTTAGGATCATAGTCATACTGCATCTCCTTCACACAAGTAGGCTCTGAAGGTTTTAGTTTAATATGAATTCTTCTGCTTGTGTGTTTCTGCTTCAGGTGTCCTTCTATCCAAACTGTTTTCCAATCCAATCTATTCACCCCTACAGTGATCAGAACTCAGTCTCTTCTGACAGCGGTGTACTATCGGTGAGTTAGCTTCCCTTTGTAATAGTGAAAGTGGAAACAGAATGAGAGTTCTGTATCGAATTCAGACGTATTGGAGAGTGTGCTTATTGTCTTGAATGTTAACTTTCATGACCCAGTAGTGTTGTATACTTGAGTAAAGTATTCGTTGAACTTTTCGAACAGAGGGAATATCGCGTTGTTCTTCAGGACGACTCAAATTTGCAACGTGACTCCGTTTTCGACAGAGGAAAATCTTTCCCGCCCGGTGGGATTTTTTCTGTTGTGATTTTATTGGCAGCTGTACCTTAGTCCATAATTTTTGTAGAGAAAAAGCCGACAACGTCGGTGAATCCGTTGGAAGTGTTCGATGAGGCGCCCGGAAGATTGTGTCTGCTAAACGCATCCACGAAGTACAAGGTATTCGCTGTCCCATATTTCGGAGTTTTCTAGGTGATTTAATAATTATTGAGAAACTAGCTACTACTTAGTTACTGCTGTTTCCATTATAAATTCGTCGTTTTCTTGCTCAGCAATCGCGATGTTGTTAAACAGCAACGGGGTCGTCAACCATATGCGACTTTGAGCGGCTGTTCTTTTTCGATGGAAGACGTGAAAAAAGCGACTCTGAAGAAGGCGATTCGGCCAAGACGTTAGCTACGGTTGTGTTGTATGTGTGTTATTGTATGGAAGTGAACGTATGCTGTTTAACAACCTCGCGTTTGCTGAGAGAGAAAACGACGAATTTATAATTCTATGCCGAGGTTAATAGGAAGTCGATCCTCGGAAGAACTATTTTCATTATCTTATGTATAACATGCTTCCAAGGTTACTCTGAGCGAAATCCATCGTCGGATGAGTCATCCTGAAACACTCCATGCAAGCTTGATCAATGGAATTCTAAGAAAGTAAGCCAAGCCTTTTACGTGTCTCACCTAATTATCTATTATTTCGAGATGTATTCATAGCTGTTTATTCTATCTTTGGGGCTAAGACGAAAGACGGCTGCAAGATGTTGCGCGACAGGCTGGCCGAGAAAGGTATTTCGTTACCATCCGGACGAAGAAAGACTGCCCCGACAACATCGTTTACAGCATTGTGCGAAAGTAGGTTGATCCATAGATAAGCTCATTTGATGAAGGAAAGACTAAGTCGATGCTTAGGGGAAGCTCTTGTGATGGCTCGGGACTTCAGCAATCTTTGCAGTAATAGCCTGAACACGTTCGAAATCGCTCGACACGCGAATCGCCTTCAATATTCACCGCATGAATTGGTTATCATCAGGTAACTGCAAGTAGTATAAAACAAAATTGAGAAGTTTTAATATAACGGTGGAAGAAGTGGAAAGAAATCACTTACGAGTCTCCTTCTGAAACTGGAGAACGTTGTAGGCGTTATCTGGCCGGCATAATGGCGATTTTTGACGAGGTGCCAGAAGATCCAGAAGATTATGTTGAGAAGGATTCTGCCACGCATTCCATTAACATATTTAGCATGGTTTGGCTCCAAGTTCCTTTTCAATAGAAGGAAAAAAAACTTCGCTCTATTCACAATTTCAGCTCACGCATGGTTTTGGACACAATGCCCTGAAAGCCTCCTTGAGAGTGTTCGGAAAGATTGTTGATCAGCAACATGCTATGCTTCAAGGGGTAAGGTTCTCCAGAAAGACTTCACTGTGGTGAAGTGGTTTGTTTGTTCTTGTTGGAAAGAAGCAAAGACATGAGGAGGGCTTTTCCTAGGTACAACCTCATGCCCCGTCATTCATGCCTTATCACATGCAGCAGTTCCTATAGATGAGTTGCATATTTGATTAAAAGTTATGTCTACAGGTATTTAAGTGGTCTATGTAAGTGCAGTATTTGTAATTTTGTAACTGAGATCTTTGTGTTTAATGTGTAATTCAGCTATTTCACGACAAAATATTAGTTGCATATCTATTGATTACCTTTGGTCGTTTGTCAGATTTTGTCCCGCAGAAGTGTTTTGGTTATGCACTAAACTGTTGCAGTACAGCAATAAAACTGATGAGTTTATTTCATTTAAGCAGTCTTTCGAAAGGTTACCCTATACACAAGCCGCTAGTCTCAGTGGGTCAATAGTAAATAACTGATCGGGAGTTAGTCAATAACTGGTCGTGGATTAGTCTACGTTGTGTAGGTACAATCCGTGCTGGTTTTCTTTTTCTAGCTTCATGTTTCCTACATTATTTTGAAAGAATACATGTGGTATTGATAATCTTGTCCCACGAATGCCATGCTCTTTTCTTGCTCGTAATCCATGTCATAAAGATAAGAAGCAATTGTGGTAGTAAGTAATAGTAATAGTCAGTATTAAAAGGATTGACTAAGTTTGGTTAATAGACTGAAGACTAGATTTTTTTTTGTTAGTATTGGATCTGCTCTGAAGTGATTTCCGATTTTGGATGACGATTTTGTGGTACAAGTGGACTTCGTCATAGCCTTTTTAAATAAAATACGACTGCTCCAATATACCCACTTTTTTTTAAACAAGACACTAATTTTTTTCAATGTAGCAATGCATTCTAAAGCTTGGATTGCGTCGAATTTTTCCAAAGGATTGCAGGCGCCGACTTTCTTGTTGATGATTTCACCAGGTAATATTTGCGGAAAGTGGGCGCGTGCGGCACAGTGGTTGGAGACGCCTTGCAGTACACATGGGTTCGACCACGGCGCCCTAGTCTCACGAAGCCCTCCATCTCTCCAGGGTCGCGGAATTGGTACCAGACTTGACTGGGAGGATAGCAGCACCGACTCGATACATCGGTGGGCCACCGCGAGTCGTTGTAAATCCAGATATGCATTCAATCACCTCTAACGATGCTTGATAAAGTCGAATGCATGGCGCATCGTTCAGGGATTTATGAACGCCGGGAGCTTTATCCTTTGATACTTATGGAGATAAGATGCGGTCGATTGAAGAGAGTTCCGATGAGTACGGTGGATAGTGCAGAGTTTTGATCAACTTCTGCAGCATTCCTTGTGGTCGAGTGTTATGAGGGAAGGGAGTTGAACGTTCTTCTCTTGACATATTCTGTGTATAGAAAGGGTAAAGCTCTCGGCGTTGATCAATCCTTGAGGGATGCGCCATGCATTAGATTTCAGTGAGAAAATGACTCGCGGTGGCCTACCGATCTATCGAGCCAGTGCTGCCATACTACCAAACAAGTCTGGTTCCAATTTATCGACCCCGGAGGGATGGGAGGCTTGGTCGGCCGCGGGCGGAGGAATTGACCCCATGTGTATTGCAGGGCGCCTCCTACCACTGTGACACATATATTCTCTGTATACAGGTACAACACTTTTTTTCAGGAACCTCGTCATTTTCTTATCAGTGCCTCTCTACTATTCTGACGATCATTCAGGATGCTCGCGCTGATTAACGGGATATTAAGAGCTTTATATTAGAGCAACAATTGTATGGATGGTCAGTCGCCCATAGCACCAATTTTTCGTCGCACATCATAGTCCCATCAATACAGATCGTCCATGTTGCGCGAAGGAGCTCACAACGGATTTCATGTTTTCAAGTAGCGACCGATTCTTGACTGGCTAACATTGTGTTCTGCAACCTCTCAAGTCTTTATGTGGTCAACACCGGTAATACCCTCATGTGGTTGTAACCAGGTGGTGTGAACTTCGTCTTCAATACTTGTGCCTCCGCTACGACACCTTTCGAACCATCTTTTTCGCACTTTCTCGTTTAGGGGCGTTTTCATGGTCTTCTGTTCCATGACATTCTAGGTGGCTTCAGTTGTGGTATATCCCATTCTGAACTCAGGAAGCAAAGCGACACTTTGGTCCAAAGAGAGCATAATTTCAAGCAGCCTATAATAGTTCTGAATTAGGTGTTAGAGAAAAGCTTCACGAGAGGAACACGATAATTAAACAAGAATCGTATTTTAAAGTGATATGGAGTAACAATGTAAGTAATAAATACTTACTAGAGATGTTGTTAAATGCGAAAAGGCACCTAGAAAAGTAATTATCTTTGGATCAACTTGATGAAATAATAGCGCAAAAGTAGTAAAATATAATAAACAATAGTAAAAGATAAAGGATAAAGCTCTCGGCGTTGATCAATCCCTTTAAGGATGCGTCATGCATTCGACTTCATTGAGTATCCCTGGAGGTGGTTGAATGCATATCTGGTCTTTACAATGACTCGCGGTTGCTTACCGATGCATCGAGGCAGTGCTGCTCTCGTCCCAGACAAGTCTGATATCAATTTGCCGACCCCGGAGGGATGGAAGGCTTGGTGGACCATGGATGCGGGGATCCATTCCACGTGGGTGTCGCAGTGGCGCCTCCAAGCACTGCGCCATATTCACCCTTAATAAACAATAGCAGTAGCAAGAATTAATGGTATTCTTAATAATCAATAACAACAATTCTTAATAATCAATAGCAGCTATTTATAGTAACAGGTGTTAATAAAAGTGATAGTAATAATAACGGCAATGCCATATAACAGTTGTTCCCACGGGCCGTTGCCGCAATGCTGGACTGACTCACTTTCCTTCATTTCGAATTCGAATCGTGAAGATGTATTTTCGATGTTTTCTTTTGTAAATAGAAATGAGAAAAAACTTGAAAAGAGGATACGTTACAACATGCTGATGTGTACAGGCTTCGTTGAGTTACTGTTCTTATCGTAACTCGATTAGGTATTGAATTATGCGAGGCTTCTTAGGACCACATTATTTCCTTGATTTTACTCCGATTTCATGGCTAACTTCATTCATGGAATTCAAAGATGAAGCAGATAAAGTAGAGGGGCCTAAATGTTTTTCTATCACTCGAGGCGTAAAGTTTATCAGGTGGTCGTTTGTTTTAGTGTAAGTTAATCAGTCATCCAAGTATTCTGCTTAGATGGAGTGAATACGATGGTGAGAAAATGAGATGAAGATTGTTTCCATATGTAGTACAATTATTCTTCAAGTACTGGAGTTCTGAAGATATGACATAAAAGGTGAGAGGAAAGCGGACCAACCTGTGCGATCACAGACAGCAAATCGTTCCGTAGTGGTTGCACAATTAGATTTTAATGGTTATCTTTTCTATTTACTGCCCACTCTTTTTTTTTCATCGCGGGGTGTTATGTGGAATAGGATGAATACCAAAATAGGAAGAATGCTGAGATATGACCAAAACTAGGGACTTTTGCTGGGCTTCTAACCCGCGATTATCCTTTCCGGGCGTTCGTGTGCTGTCCAATTTAATTTGAGTGGTTAAGATCTCAAAATATGACGAGGTTTTGTAGGAAAATGGAAACGATAGTCCGATACGAGTCAGAATTGATCAGTGACAGTGCTTTTCATTGTTGGCAGCTCCTAGAAAACATACGATGGGCATCGGAATGCTGTAAAACGCCCGAGATTCGGACATCGCCGGAGGCACGTTTTTGAGTGGGCGGGCTGTGCCGGCTGGAGGCGTGGCGTCTCAATTCAACTGTTCCGAAGCGGCGGCTCTCGTAGCCGCCGGCAGAGTAGTGTGTTCGATTCCGTGCCTTTTCGAGCTACTCAAACCTTTTTGTAGTAGAAATGCACATCTGCACGGTGTTGGTTCTTCTCTAGAGGTGATGTGTAACGTGTTTTTCTTACAGTTCCACTCGATCCTGGTGATGTACACGTTTCTCTCGTCCCGATTTTGTTAACTATTTTGGTGAGATTTTGCCAAAGTTCGTATTCAGTCTGCTCGTATATCTGCAGACATACAGGAACAGATAGCCATGTGACTGAAGATGTTTTTGTATCGAAAATGTCACAAATTTCGAGAATTGACGGATAACTTCCTGTGTTTCAGAGTATTGGTTTTGTTATGCGAAGGGATAGGACTCTCGATAACTTCTGTAAACCTGAGATCTCTAAGAAATTCGCGGTTTATTCCATGAATTAATGCATTCCTTCTCTCATTGCCATTGGTTAACCTACTTTTTGAGCTCATGTTTAGACCCTTTCGGCATTAATTAAAGAAGATGGAAACAAAGCTAACTTAAAAAGATTGCCATTTCGTGCATATTGCGTTTCTGTTGATGGAAATTGTGCTTTGCTGAAGAGTTTTCCAAGTCGTTGACGCATTCGTATTCGCTGTCCAGTTGCCATTAGCAAATATTGTCTTCAGAATCAATGCATAGTTGTTGATTTTCCGTGGTTTACTTCATTCGAGCAGTATTTTTTCAGCTTTCAGTGCTTGTAGAGTTTCATTTTGTGAGCTTTCTGTGGTTTTTTTCGTGCTCGGGTGATGTCGCATCCGCCAGAGTATGCGGCTGCCGCCCTTCGCTCGACGCCTGCCCAGATGACGGCTGGCATTTCCGTCGACCTTGTAGTGGCTGCTCAGGTAAAGTAATAATAATTATAAAAGAGAAGCAGATGGTTTACTAGCTGTAGGGGAGATCAACAGTTCTATTGAGGTATCCTGCCACTTATATGCGTAGGCGATAAATTAATCACCATGAGCTAATGAATAACGCGGAACGGACAAATGCTTTAGGAAAAGCATGACATCTACATAAACATCGTTTTTAGTACAGAGAATATCTCATTTTAAACGAATATTCCGTTGGAGAAACGCTGAAGCCTGGCGCAGTGGACTTTACTGTGAAATAGAAGTAAACAAAAGTCAAAGAAAAGAAACGACAAGTGTCAGTTCATACCTTGCAGTTAGATTGGACACGTCTGGGCATTGAAATATTAACTGGAAACTTCTAAACTTTTCAACTGATTCTTATTTTATTGGTTTGTAGCCATTATCAGAAGTTTTTTCTTTGTTTCTACGTTCCATTCTTTCCTCTCTGAGATTCCTTCTGATTCTATTATCACTTGCCGGCTTTTGCACAGCTTTATTCTGCAGCTCTCAGGTCGTCCTGTTTCCCGTTTGCTTCCCTGTTTTCTTTTCTTCATCCTATACATTTCGAATCATTTGACACTTAAAACCAAATGGTAATCCATAAGGGTTTCATCTGAGATGACAAACAATAGATACAAATTATGTTCTACGTCTACATTCAAAAAACCAGATTACACCAATGTGGAAATACCACATGTCAATGGTAATAGTTTGCAGGAAAAATCCCGGAAGCCAATAGACATCGATATGTTGTAGGCCCATTTAAACCGTGATATCCCTTTAGCCGATTCGAAATGGAAGCTTTTCTGCTTCGTGCATTGCTTTTTGCTGAGAACATTCGGGAACGAGTAATGGTCAGCCTATTATAGTCGACAAGCAAAGCAATTAAGAGAGGTGGAGCGCCCTCTCATGAATACTAAACGGCTAGATCCATAGAAGATGCTCAAAGGGCGTGCGGCTGAAAAATTCTCTGGATTGAAAACAAAACATTCTTGGAACTTTCTGTCGTAATCGCATACTATGATGCTATGTCAGTGAAATCTACAGCCTGTATGTATTTATTTTTGATGGATGAAAAGGTGATAGAGAACAACAGAACTTTCAATAATCCACTTATAGTTTCGATGAAATGGTAAACTCCATTGATTAACCCCGAACTATGAAGAGAAAAACGATTAAAATCTTGGCACTTGGCAAGAATGTTGGATAATAAATATCAGGTTGTGGGCCAAGCCCTGGAATGCTCGGAAATCCAGCAGAAGTAAGGCGCGTGAATGAGGATGAATAGAAATGTTAGAGACGTAAGTTGTGGATGAAAGCGTCAACTATTTCGTCGCATCTACTGTGGCTTACAGAACTTTGCATAGAATGTGAACGTTGTGTTTCTGTGTAGCTGTGCGAACAAACACGCAGAATGAATTTTTTGAGATAACCTGAGAAGGGAATGCATTGAGCTTCGCCGGCTTTATGCGTCCTCCCTTCCCTTCACTAATTCTGAATTCGTTTTTCTTGCAGCGTGAGGCGAATTTTCTTCGAATGATAGACCGGAAAGCACCCCTGCTCTACGAACCGGACGTGGTCAATCAGGCGATTCGACGTTACGAGACTTGTTGGCTACCGATGCAGGTTACTACGGGGCTTTCCAATTTCTTCATCTTTTTGTTTCAATTTTTTCAATCCATCACCCTCTTGCATTCTTGTGCAGTCTTTTTTTTGCTTTTATTCAAGTTTTTCACTTCGAATATCTTTAAAAATATTGGGAGAGCTAGCACTACTTTGTGGCAGAAGAAAATTTCGGTTTTGTACAGTTAGTTCAAGCGTTGCTATAAGGAGCAATTTCTATTTCAAAATTTCGTGTAAATCTCGGAATTATTGGAATTAAAAAGATCTTTAATCAGTAGGAGTGTTTAGGACTGCAAATATGCACACAGAATATTTTTAACCTTTTCTTGACTAATGCATTGCTTTCAGTGTAGTGTGCATATTTGGACAGCGTGCATTGCTGTCAATGCATCTTCTGCGTTTTCAATTCGAGATTGTTTTTTTTGCAGCACAATTTCTATGCTTATGACATATTTCGTATTTAATTGATAGACCTCCTAACACTAAATATTGTACTTGGTATGGTTCAAAGAAAAAATATGCATTATAGTTCGTAACAAAGTATAGGTTTTTTGACGAATTTGCTCCTCTCCAAGGTTCCCGTGGCAGCTCTTTGTAATACCTGAATCTGGCATGTTCTCATGCTTTAGCTCTCGCAAATTAGCCGTTAGCGCCAATGTGCCGATTAACGTATTCTCCATCACACGCACTGATCGCAATTCCCTGTCGAATGCATCGATTTCACTACGTGCTGTAGGTTGCGAGCTCAGTGCATATAACTCGCGGCAAAAAATTACGCGTACTCTTACCGGGCTGCATACGCAAATCAGGTGTGTTACTAATGTGATGGGTCATATATGAGCCACATGCACATCCAGTCACCTCTAATGATGCTTACTGGAGTTGGATGTATGGAGCATCCCTCAGGGATTATTCAACGTCAAACACCTTAAGCTTTTGCCCGTTGATTTTTCTAAGCACAAAATGAGGTGAAGCTATAACTCAATCAAGATAAGACTGAAATTACCTGCAACGCTTAATTTCCATTGTGTTCACCATGGGACGACGCATGTTGTTCTCACGGATTATCGTCTGCAGCCGATTTTGCATAGTAGATTCCACCGCTAAATAAAAGTATCGTTTATCTCATCGGTTAGTAGTATCCGTTTTGCTACTCGTTTAGGTAGAAAAGGTATTTAGTGGCGGTGGAAGTCGTGTACTTGTGTTTGCTCAGCAGTAGCACCTTAAATCACTGTTTTTTTTCTCGATGAGTAAACACGAGGTTGGTGTTACAGAATTTATTAGTACGGGATACCCCTCGACAGCAACAGTCTCTAACAAGGTCTAACAAAGAAACTCGTCCAAAAAAACTATTGTTATGAAATAATAGTGGTAGAATATGGTTTTTCTGGGACTAAGTTTGACACGACGTCTCTGCTAGGGAGGCTATCGATTATATGTATAGCAAGTGCGATGTGGGGAGGAAAAGTTTATGCATCCGAAGGGGTAATTGTGCATTGAAATTCTTCCGAATATGTTAATAAAGTTTATTATGGAAGAAGTTAACAAAAGGTAGTCACGGCCCATTTTCGGTACTTGGCATTTCCTAGTAGAGCGCATTTGGCAATTTCTTATTTGATTTCATGCGTGTAACAAGTGCCGGGTTTTACCCACGCGACGGTCAATCCACGCTCGCTGCTCCACCAGAGGATTTGTAGGCGGAACGCGGAACACTCAGACGGGTCTAGAATTTCTAGAATTTCAACAAAAAGCAAATACACTAGAAGCCGTAGAGAAGATTGGCAAGATAGTGGGGGGCTTTCGCTTTGAAAGGTCTGACATCATTGCTGGTGTTTCGGATGAAGGAAGATGCTCAACTCATAAAGTGGTCCTAGAAAGGTGTTGTGTTTTATTTTAGGTCTTTTACGATGACAGATATCTTGTGCCGAGTTTTTCTTTTTTCGTGATGGGAATCATTTTACAATATCTCACGATGATTGAATAGTGGTGCATTTCAGCCGAATATTTCTAGGCAGCTCATCCTGATATGAACGTGATCCCACCGTTAGATGTTCACTGGATTTGGCACACGCACATGTTGAGTCCAATAAATTACCAAGAGGTTAGATAAATTCTTTCCGTATGTTTTGTTTTCTACCTACTTTTTATTATAAACTTTCTCGTTTCTTTTTCAATCTACGGTCTATTTCCGATGGGTTTCAGAATGCTTTCCTTAAATAGTAGTGCATCAAAGAGCAATACTTTTTGTGCTTTTAGCAGCGAACTATATTTCAGTCGTAAGAAGCCGCAATCCAATTACCGTAGAGTACATTCTCTTGGTTGCTGTGACTTCAACTGTATTTCCAAAGAATAACTTGAAGGTTGCATCTTTTAGATACCTTTTAAAGGCCTTAGAAATTGCTTCACCGTTCACGCGTTCTGTTTTTTTTTTCTCGTCTTCATTGTGAGTTCTTTCAAGAAGAAAAGATAAAAGCACAAAGTGGGGTATAGCAAGGTGATCTGGAGTAGGCACGCGCTATTGCTCCAGATTCAATTAAGCTAGGGTTGATTGTGGATGACATGGAAATAGAGAAGCACTGTTTGCTCTGTCGACTAGCTCTTGCAAGTTTTCACGCAAGCCATATCTGTCATCCATCTTTTATTATGAAAGTCGGAGCGTGTCATAAATGGTACTATTCTGTAAAATTAATAAAACAATTTTTGTCTTATTATGTTCTCATGGAAGGTCTTTTCTAGGGAACACACTAAAATTCCACCCAGATATGCCTTCTAGCTTATGTGCTGCTACGTTTTTCCAGTAAACTTAAGAGAACTTTAGGCAATGTTTTTCAATGTGTAATATTCCAGCTCTCATACTCAGCAAGCCATTAAGGAGCTGCTGGGAACTCTTCTTATCGGGGGATTATAGAGGACTGGAATATAAGGATGAAGTTATGGAAAATTGAGTTTGACAACTCTTAGAACGAAATTTTCGACGTAGTATATTCATCTCAAAGAAGCGATGTCTCCAAGAATTAAATTAATAAGTTTCATATTATCTTTCTGGTATTTTGGGGTAGATTCCATGAAAGGCGCATTGGTTTTAGCTAGCTGTTCCCTCTCCTATCTTCCCTCACTCTTCTCCTTTTACGCCTCCTTCTTTGGTGCTGAAACGGATAGAGCTCAAATGACATAAGCTATTGAAATAGGAAAGGTCATACACATCGTTCACAATGAAACGTTTATACCTTTCAGACCTCTTTTTCCAACTTAACTGAGGAGTGAGAGGTTAAGAGAACATCTCATCTTTTCATCTTTCTCTGCTGCCTGTCAGTGTTGAAATTAAAACAAAGGAATGAATCCAGTTCTGGTTAATATAATATAAAGCAAATAGTGACGGTTGGCGAAGAATTTCCTACTGCTCACTTCGAAGTAGGTAAAGTACTATCGTAAAGAAAGCCTATCCGGTGCGTTCCGCTTGAGAGAAGAAACGGAGGACTTGAGATGTCGGAGGCTCGCCATGAACTGATTTCCACTACGTGGCTTGCAGTTTGTCATCGATGGGAACGACCGTGGCGCTCCAAGGGTTTAAAATGAAAACAGGATGTTCTATGCCGCGCTGAAAGACTTCCATTCAATCTCGACTATTCACACAACCGTAAGCGTTATTTTATCTGGAAATTTTCGACAAATCAAATATTCGTCGTTGGTTTTAAATCATTTTCCTTTCCATGGTCTGCTGTTGGGGATTCCTACTCTGTCTTTGCATTCTACATTTCAACAGCAGAAACAACGGCTTTACCAGGTTTTTTCGGAATTGGTATATGTGGGGATGAGAAACGGATGTACCATTTCTGAACAGCCTATGTCAAGATAAAACAGTTTCGGTTTATACGAATTTTAATTATGGCAACATATGCTTATGTGGATGAATGGATTTGTTCCATATTTGAAAACTGAAGCTAAATTAGCAATCAAATTGAAAGTTTGTTTAGCGCGCAGGCTTCCCTAGGTTCATACCGCCCAGAAAGCACAGGGTTTTTTGATTTTTGTTTGGTTAGATATTTTTAATAGAGTTATCTGCAAGGAGTAAAACGCTGACTTATTGACGGGATTCTTAACGGTTCACGTGCAGTGTCAGTCGAGCCCGACCACTGATGCTGTGTCCGAATGAGATTAGTCGACATCGTGAAACCTATTCTTCATCGTCAACTTGCATTCTTTTAAATTTTTCGTGAACAGCATTTATCGTTGGAAGCTGAATTGTTCACAAAAACTAAACAAATAGAAAAATTCACTGCAATGTTGTGCTGAATTCCCGAAATCAAGTAATGGATGCCGTATGGACGCATCTCGCGGTTCTACTTCCAGCTCCCGTGTGGAGTGTTCTGTTCGGCTCCTACTCAAAGGCGATGATGTCTTATGGTTTTATGCAGCTGAAAGTTGCAGTATACATCTCCGCAACGGCTTGTGGTCCATCTTGAGGACGTGTCCTCGAAAACTTGTAGAGGTGTGGGCGATTTTGCTCCTGTCCCACTCGTTTATGTCGCCTGTGAGTATTCGACGTCGAAATTGAAATCGATAGTACAATTACTTTCCAATGAAGTTTTTTTGAAGTTCGATTATTCGAACACTGGTCTCTTCCTCACTCGTAGTCGAATCCCACACTCCGATTCAGTGGGAGCAGTGGGTTCATTTTTTTTTGAAAAGATACATTATTATTGTACCGCATTGAGTACTGATTAAGTTTAGCGGTTTTCAGTCCGTGACATTTGTAATTCTATTTTCCCGAATATCTTTTTAATTGACTGTCCTGAAAAAAGGATTAGCGTATATGCTCCACCCTAATCGGAAATGTCGACTGTGTCGACTAAAAGCAGATTTAAAGGAGCTTTATTTGGCACTTCGATTTTGAAACTGCACTTCTGTTGGCCGAAGGCAGCAGCTGATTTTTGACCGCGACTTCCACGAAGCGAGTACCTAAAACGCGGTTCTAAAATGCACTCTCTGTCACTAGTTTGTTCCCATTAGGACGACGCTTTATTTCACTGCTGGATCGTCCAATTGCTATAGAGGGTTAGGAACCAATTTTCGTGCTTTCATTTTCTGCCTCATTGCTGCTCCATTTATAAAAAAATTCAACACCTCAGTGAATATTCATATTCGTGATGCGTGTACGCATTGTCTAAGAGCGCCTAGTAGTACTAGACTTTGTTTGCCATAGCACGGAAACGAGCTAAAGACCCTGTATTTATTGCTGCAAATCTTTAAGCACTGAACTACACGCGGAAGGATTGATATGTTAGGTGTGTCGGCAGTGATAGGGAAAATTTTTGAGATTTCTTATAAATACAGGTCGGAATCAAGTTAATAACGATTGCCGTTGTTCTGTATACTAATTGTGCTATGGATTTCGCATACAGAACTTTTCCTTGATATTTCGTCAACAACATGAATGTACATATTTTTCAACACATTTTTAATTGTTACATATATATATATATACATAATATATATTGCATATATGTATATGTATATGTATACATATCCGATTCTAAGCGTAAAACAATTTGAATGGTCTGCTAATGCGCCAAACAGAGTGCGCGGGGCTTTCATAGGACTTTTATTGTAACGAATTATAAGAGTACTATTGAGTAGTTAAATACTACTGGGATGATATTGCTAGATCAATGACCTCCCAAGCAATTTTCTGACGAATTGTTTATCTTAAACTTATCTCAAACTTATGTGGGCGTGTACGAAATGGTCAGAGGTGCGTTGGTGTGATCTGTGGTTAACCCAGGCTAACGAGGTCCTGTGGGGGTTGGCTAGTTGGTGTGAGGCTCGTGGTAGAAAATTCTTTATTTAGTAGAGGAATTAATGAAGAATTTTCTATACTTTTCTGGAAGGATAAGAGCGCTGATTTAGTACATCAATAAATCCCTTTAAGTCATTGTATAAGGCAATTATGTATTTAATCACCTCAACGATGCCTAATGATGTCGTTGGCTCACCGCTCAGTGATTAATGAGCGTGCGAGAATCTACCGTTTATTCTTAATGGTAAGGTTTTCCTAGTAGTTTATCTGTCTGTTCAACAGTTTCGCTTTCGTAGCAGCAGTTCGTGAAATAATGCTACCGATACCGTCAGAAGAATGGTCAATTATCTGCTATGCGCGCTGTAGTTGTGATGAATGATTTCTAGGAGCATTCCAATAACTCCCGGGAATCGACTAGTGAAGAGAAGAAACAGCCGGCTGCTCGAGGCGCTATCGAACTGCAATTGAGGGACCACCGGCTGCGCCGTTAACAAACTCCATGCAGCTTTCTATGATATATCAGTGGGGCAACGCCATCTCTTCTTCTATTTGGAATTTTGTTTTTCGAATCCATTCTTTTTATTTAACGCTATACACTGAATTTCATTTCAGTCAGAAAGGCACGAAGCATTTTAAGGCATTTTTGGACTTATAAATGATTCCCATTTTTTGAGACTATATTGAAATATTTACCACAAGCGATTCATTTTACAACAAAGTGCTATGGTCAGTCATCCACCACAAAGAAAAGGAAAGACCTCGAATCTGATGGTTTTGGTGTAAACTTCATTCTGGCCAGGAACTGAGTGAGTGCACTGTTGAAGTGGCAGCTGTCGTGAGACGATAGATACGCGTCGCTTCTAATCGTCGTCAAGAGCATAAAATTGTTCAAAAAGGGACTAGAGTTTGCTCAGTCAAAAATAAAATGTTCCCCAACTCACTATTTTTGGGGAGTTGAGTTTCGTTTTTTGGAATCGTTTTCTTACCTTAGTGAATAAGTAACAGGTACAGGGGGTTTTGTTTGCAACTTTATACCCAACGTACTGGCTATATCTGGGTCACTATTGCTCTGCTTTCTCCAACATTACCTTTTCTCCATCGATATCGTGATGTCCGTTCGTATTTCTTCTTAAGTCTGGAGGATTGATATGCACTAGGCAGGAAAGATGTTGCGACGTGCCTTAGCAAAGCAAAAAAGCAAAAAAAAATGACTTCACTTTTCATACGGCTTTATCTTCATCTGTTTGGGGCAGAATGTCGCCGAATGCAGGCTGTCGCTAAAAGCTCGAATTTGTTCACTGCTT